ATTGCTGTTTTTGTCAATGGAGTCTGGTGGCTTGGTGCTTCTGGTGAAAAACAAAAAGGATCTTATTCTCTCATGAAAAAGTCTTATCTGTGTAGGAATCGGGAGGCGCTGTTATTTTGTCAATTGTTTTAGAGTTAAGTAAAACTGTGAGTCGACGCGCACTTGTTGCCAGTTTTGATGCAGCTTTTCTGTTGACGTTTTTCTGGCTCTGGCACAGGAAAATGATGTCCTTATTCTTAATCCTGTCTACAAAGCTTTAGTTGGCTCGGTTGTTTTTTTCCAACAGGGAAATCAACCGTCAACAAACACAACACCAGGCTTCTGATTTACTGAAGAATCTCAAGCTTCTTTTTGCATTTTAGCTGTTTTGTTTTTTCTATACGTTGAATCAGTCATTAATTACAGTGGATTGTATTCTAGTCCTGGCCACATGGGCTATTAATTAAAATACAGACTTTACCTTATGTACCACCCTATAGAATTACTACTAGCGTGATGCAGGACCTTAACATGATCCAGAAAATGGAAGTTAAAACATGCTTGACCTTCGCTGTTCTGCTCTTGACGCGGTTGCGTTCTGCATAGAAATGAATTATACTGTCACACTCGATAACATATAGATGTTTTTAGCATTAACTCAGCAGCCTGTGCCCTTGACCTGCGCTTAAAACCGCCGCGTGTTTGAAGCTCTGTGAAATCGTGTTCCTTGTGTACGTGCGTGTTTGTGTCTGCGGATTGACAGGCGCTCCCTGCGTGACCTGGATCCTTTGACTGGCAGGAAAATGATGGAGGAGAGGAGTCGGGGGGGCTGCGTGTGGGCGGATACTAAGTTGAAACAGTGTGGGAGGTGATTGAGAAACTGAGAGAAGAAGCGATGGGCAAAGGGAAAAATACAAAAAAGATCTAACGGAACTTGAATGAGCACTTCCTGCTTCACTTTGTTATCTGCGTATCGCCTTGTTATTTCCCTCGTTACAGTCAAACACTCTCTGGTGTTGAAGGGCAGTCGGAGCTGTGGGTGGTGTGTTTTCTTTCTTCTGGTCTGATGTTGTGTTTTCCACTTTCTTTGATTTCACTCTTACTTACTCGTGTTTTGTTCACCCTTCTTCACACCGAGGTCCACATTTGAATCAAGTGGTTTGCTTTCATGTGCCTTTTGCTTCACATGTGTTTTCTCATATTTTTTCAGTGAAAATCTAAAATTTTGGTCAGGTAGTCAAAGGAGATTGGCAAACATAAGAGAGAGAGGGAGAGATCAGCAAAGCCAAGATTATTCAGAGTCTCAAATATTGACAAGAGTCTGGTTATTTAGAGGCTTAAGTGTAAAAATACTTCATAGAAAATCTTGTTGACCGTGAGACAGCGAGCAGCACGATCGTTGGAAAATGTCACGTCAGCCGGCAGTTATCTCTCAAGTACCCGAGTTTAAGTGAATATGTATAAGTTAAAACAAATTAATTTAAACAAACCACTTATTTTGTGATTTTGTCACACTGCGGTGGTTGTGCCGATGGACGATGATATCGACGATCATCAGAGCGATCGACGATATCTCTCTGCAAATGTCAAGGCGATATTTGGATTGTTTTCCCATCAATGTATTAACTTATTATTATCATTATTTGTAGTATTAAAGTAATGTTTAATTTAATTTGCCCTGCCACGGGTTCACATATATAGCACACACACACACACACACACACACACTCCTACCTGCTGATTGTCACTGACACCATACTGTGGGATATTCTACACAACTAATGCATTATTCTGTGTAAGAAGTTCCTCCACAGAATAATTAGCAGTGTAGTGACAGTGACATTTGGATTGGAAGTCGATAGTCTTCTGTTCCTTAAAGAAGAGACGGCCATCGACTTCCAATCCACATCCACAGAGAGAGAGAGGTCTGTGTCTCTGTCTCCTCCAAACCTATGTCCTTCTTTCTCTCCCGGGTAAAAAGAGCCTTCACAACCAGAAGAGGGCTGGTGACCGGCCAGAGGCTGGCAGAGCAGAAAGACTAGAGATGTGTGCAAAATATACTGTAGCAGCATTCATCCAGGTCTGGTGGTTATGTCCCACCCAGGATAGAAGAGTGTGAACAGGGGAGTTTTTTGAAATAACACGCTGCACTGCAGAAAACATTGTGTTTCGTACACATGCATCATTAACTGCCAAATAAGACAGACGGAGACAGTTTGTGTTATTGTCAGTGCTGCTGATGCTGCATGAAAACCTGCTCATTTTGTTGCTGATATTATAACACATGTGATGCATTACAGTATGTAATGCATCGAAGTACTTTGACTCCAAAAAAAAAACTTTAATTAGCAGCCACACAGATGAGCTATTGCCACCTTAATTGTCAGAGTGTGAATTATATCAGTGACAATCGGCTTTTTCTCCAGGGTGAAAGGGAACTCAGAACAGGGCACGTGCTTCAGTGAACAGAAAGATGTCAAATAAATGTTGTGGCGTAGAAAGAACAATATTTCTCTCTGAAATGTAGTGGAGTGGAAGTGTGAAGTAGCTTAAAATGGAAATACTCAAGTAAAGTACAAGTATCTCAAAACTGTACTTAAGGACAGTACTTAGAGTAAATGTACATAATTACTTTCCACCACTGTGATACAATAACTGAGCAAAAAGGTAAAAGACTGACTAAACCACCACAGCCACACAAACGACTATTAACATGAAATAATAAACTGTATATTGATGTCAAAACGTCTACAACAACTAATCCTCCATTGTTTCACTGCTCATGACTGAGCACCAGTGTTATAGCTAGCTAACATTAGTGAGCTAACTGTAACTTAAGGTAAAGTTAGAAACTAGCTAACATTAGTGAGCTAACTGTAACTTAAAGTAAAGTTAGAAACTAGCTAACATTAGTGAGCTAACTGTAACTTAAAGTAAAGTTAGAAACTAGCTAACATTAGTGAGCTAACTGTTACAGAAGGTAAAGTGAGAAACTAGCTAACATTAGTGAGCTAACTGTAACTTAAAGTAAAGTTAGAAACTAGCTAACATTAGTGAGCTAACTGTAACGAACCCTGATAGTTCTACTTTTCTAGCTGTACAACACTACATGATTTTATTCAAATCATAACAGTTTCAAAGTTATTTCAGCTCCTTTAAGTTAAGATCAGATAAAACTGCAAAATGCCAGTAACAAATTTATCAATTGACTTTATTTCCGAATATGAATGAAATCTGTATCAATCAGCGAGAATCCATTTCTGGATGTGCTTATTTTAAAGTAGTTTCACATGCAGTAACGCTCCGTCATTAGCTGTAATTTTCTGTGTCCATACACGAACTCACCCACCCTCATGTACATTCACAACCCATGAATACGTACACCAGCACACTCTGCCCTCAGCAATGTCTCCAAGGTTGTTTGTGAGGTTCGCGCGCTCTCTGTGACAAAAGATGAATAATTCATCGCTTCCATTGCTTCTTCATCTGTCTCGTTCGCTGTCTTTGCGTATCCCTCCATTTACCTACGGGCATGTTATCCACATACAGAGAAGAATCTGCTCAGATGAGACACAAAGCATCTGCTCAGATACTGAATATGATTACACACACAGCTGAAGAGATAGTTATACGCAGAGGACGAGGAAAAATCCCAGTTTCACGCAGTGAAGTCAGAGCTAAAAAAAAACTCTTTTCATCCAAGATTGCTTCCCCAACCTTCGAGATCATAATTAAAAGACTGAAATTTTCCCCCTAAAACTGGGGAATTTCACCACCCATCTACTAATCTGTTGACTTCAAAGTAACTCTGCGGTCGCTTTTCCATTTCGTCTTTTCTGTGTGGAAATGAAAATGTAATGTGACTGTCATCATTTTGACCATAAACTGTTTCCATTAGTGGTTTTAATGAAGACATTTACAGTTGAAACATCATGCAAAGGAACACCACACACCAAGCAGAACAACAAAAAGTTACCCTTCGCATCATAACAATAATAATAATAATAATAATAATAAACGTTATTTGTGTAGCACCTTTCATACAAGACATGCAGAGCAGTATGCAACAACATGCTTCAAGTTCATCACATGAAAAATAAATAAAATGAACATAAAAACATGTTAAAAGCTTTAATGTAAAATGAGATGGAATAATAGCATAGAAAAAGTATTTTAACAATTAAAATACGTTAAAAATTGATTACATAGAAAGCATATGCTTATAACAGCATTTAAAAGAAGTGCTGAGAAGAGTATAAGCGTGGAGCTAAGTGCAAAATTTCTGAGCTAGTTAAAGTCTAAGGTGAAGAGGTATGTTTCAAGCTTTCCTTTAAAAATACTTAACAATCAACAACAAGTTCGTCATTCACAAAACCAAATTAACAGAAGAAATTTCAGTCATTTTCAGAAGAGTTGAACATTTCCTTGTATTATCTTGTACTTTGATGTGATGATGGCAACTCTGCATAAATGTCTTTTCTTAGCCAATATTGGAAACAATATTTTATAGGTCAGTGAAATCTCCCCTGAAATAGAGCCATTAAAAATGAGATCAACGCCCTCTGGAGAGAAGAGTTTATTCTCACAGTGACTGCTGGCCAGTGTCCCATCTTCACTACGTGGTGTCCTGCAAATTGGGACAGCCATGAAAGCTGTGTAAACCTCCAAGAGGACGATTGGGGACGTTGAAATGTGAGCACATCAGGGAAAGGGTAAACAAAACGGGAAATGAGAGGAAACACGCTGCCAATATAATGTGGGTGTAGAGAGAGAAAAAGAATCAAACCACCCAGGGCTTGGATAGATGCTTTTCATGCCATATGTTGCGTTCTGCCAAGGACTTTGAGGCAAAGTCGAAAAATGAATAATTCACTTTGGCTTTCTCATTTGTCTGTGTCTCACTGTTTTTCCTTTTTTTTTTTGCTGCTCTGTCACGTTCTCTGCCTTCGTGTCCCTTCACCCTGCTCTTTTTAACTCCTCCCTCCCTCCCTCTCTCTCTCTCTCTCTCTCTCTCTCTGCAGATCACACCTCTGTCGGAGGACTCGGGGACAGTTTTTACGAGTACCTGCTGAAGGCGTGGCTCATGTCTGACAAGACCGATACAGAAGCCCGCAAGACGTACGACGACGCCATCGAGGTACCGTCCGGTCAGAGATTAGTCTGCATCTGTGTTGTGCAGTAGCTGACCAGTTACCAACGAGACGTGCATCATCTGAGGAAAACAAGATAAGATTAGAGAGTCCTTTATTAGTCCAACAGCAAATTTGACAGTAAAAAAAAGAATGGAAATGACAATATTAAATAATGAAAAAAAATTTAAAAATATATTAATAACATATTATGTACAAATGGATATAAGATATATCAAAAATAGCAGACAAAAAAACTAAACTTTAACAGTTATTTATTCCTGCGCTGTGTAAAAACACGACTGTTACACAGAGATAAACCATCACAGTAAAGACAAAGTCAGATTTTTATTACACTTCACTCTCTCTTCCTGGTAAATCACCTGACGCACACAGGAAGAATACAAATGTCCTTCAGGAATAATCCCACGTACATGCATGTCTTTTTATTTACAGCATGTTGGTTAGGTAATTTCACTCTCAGTGTAAAGTTTGTCACTTTTGTTTTTTATATTTTTATTAAAAGAAGTGGCTTTATAATGTGTACAGCATACAACGCCTTCCAACTTCAGACCCTCCATTCTGCTCCTTTGTTTAACTTTAATCCCAGTTCAAAAAGTAACAGCTCTGATTGTAATTGTCACCAGTTTCCCTTTTTTTTTATTCTTTTTTTTTTAATAACCAACATTAATTTCAGGACATTAACCTCCCTCACTGCTGACAGTTTTCAGTGCCCATCTTTGCAAAAGAGGGAAAGTCAGAGCAGATTTGTCAGGAAGCAGATGTTAGCGGTCTGTAGCTGATGAAGATGTCTGTCAATCAGTCAGAGAGGGAGAGGAACAGATGCTGGAGCAGAGGGTGAGGGATGAGGCTGGATTTTAAATTCCTCTCTCACCACTTTGTTCTGTTTTATTATGTCTGACCCTCCCTGACTCTCACACACACACACACACACACACATACACGCAATCTCAATGTCAATGCCCCATTCACACGACTTAACCCTGTTAATACATTCACTCACACGCACATACTCTTAATATTCCATTCATAACGTCCATCCTCTCTCCTGCTGTAATAAATGCTGTCATTCGCCCTTTTCTGGGCTTATCTCCTCACATTGTCCACGTTCCTCCCCAAACACATACATTTCATGCTCCTGAATCTTTTCAATCACCACCTGCATACAAATACACACACACACTTACTATTCCATATGCAACATCTGTCCACATTCTGTCTGAAAACACGCTGCTTCTCTCCACTTCACACAAATGTCTCCTACATCTTCCTTTATTGTTTTACCACAATCACACTCACACTCCCTCCCTCCCTCCCTCCCTCCCTCCCTCCAGGCCATCGAGCGCCACCTGATCCGCAAATCCAACGGCGGCCTGACGTTCATCGGTGAGTGGAAGAACGGACACCTGGAGAGGAAGATGGGTCACCTGGCCTGCTTCGCCGGCGGCATGTTCGCGTTGGGCGCCGACGGCTCGCCCGACGACAAGGCCGGACACTACCTGCAGCTGGGAGCCGAGATCGCGCACACCTGCCACGAGTCCTACGACAGGACGGGTGAGACGCACTAACACATGTACATGTAACTGAGTGTGAATGAAACTAGTGTGATAGCACAGGAAAGGTTGGTGTTTATTTTGTTAAGAAAAAAAAACCTCATGCATCTGAAATAGGAATTATAGTTTTATTAGAGACTCTCAGATCAGTTGGCCATGTTTGTTTTTTTTGGCAGGTGTTATATTTTCATTTGCCGGAAGCGTAAATATCAATTCAACAGAGACCTTTAAAAATACCTGCTCGGGATGTTTCCTGATGAGCATCAATACTTGTCAGCAAAGAAACACCAGAGTGTGACCTTGCATTACGACTGTAGGTGTGAGTGTGTGCGCGTGTAGTCTGAAATTGTGAGGTCGCTCTGAGAAAAAGAAGAGGTTGCCGTGGCAACAAATGAAGATGGCGAGAGGGAGGGAGGGAGAGAGAACTTTTGTGGCGAGGTGGCAGAGAGTTTGATGGCAGCGGTCAGGCTGTCGAAAGTTGGCCTGTTACTTCTTAATGAGCAGTCACTCATGGAAGCCCTCGAGTGTGTGTGTGCGTGTGTGTGCGTGTGTGTGTGTGTGTGTGTGTGTGTGTGTGTGTGTGTTTTACTCCTCTCAGAGAGATAATTCTGTCATCGCCTTGTCAGCTCCTCAGTAATTTTCCACACATGCCGATCACACTTAATTGTCAGAGAGCACTGGTTATAAAAACATGAAAAACCAGTAAAATCAGTGGGGATGGAGTTTTTATTACTTTATAACACACACACACACACACACACACACACACACACACACACTAATTTATATCAACTCAAGCGTTAAGACAAACAAGGAGCAAAGAATCATTTTTATCTCCTAACTCTAGTTTCCTCTCTTCACCATCCCTCATTCCCCGGTTACCCTTCCTCCTCCTCACTTCTCCTCTTCTTCCTTCTCTCTCCTCTCCCACCTTTCCACGTCACCTCTTCTCCCTCCCTTCTGCTCTGTCCATTCTTCCCTCAAGTGCTGAAGCTCGGCCCGGAGGCCTTTAAGTTCGACAGCGGCCTGGAGGCGGTGGCCGTGCGGCAGAATGAGAAGTACTACATCCTGCGGCCGGAGGTCATCGAGACCTACTGGTACATGTGGAGGTTCACCCACGATCCCAAATACCGGCAGTGGGGCTGGGAGGCAGCACAGGTAAAGAGCGTACATTTATACACACTATGTAACAGCTTAGTCATGGTTTACGCCATTTTTAACATCAGTAGATAAATTATTTAATCAGCTTTGAGTTTAATGGCTCTAAGCACTTTTTTTACTGACCTCTACTTTGTACAGAGAGAAACACCAGGCAGGGTTTGGTAAGACATTTGTTGAACTAGCTTTGCAGCACAAAACCATTCTCCCAAACCGAAAGGAGCTGAGGCTTTGGGAGGAGCTGGCATTGTTAAATGGAGGACAGCTGGGAGACGGGGAGAGTCTGATGACTCCATGAATCATCAGCTCTTGCCCCAGTGTCTCGCACATGGAAACAAACTGCGGACAAGAGGAGGGAGAGGGGTAACAAATACCAACATCCAGTCGGGTTTATGGGAAATAAATACAGTAATCTAATAATGTTAAGAAATCAACCTGACACTGAGTTAGAGATTGATGAAGGTGATTAAAGTGACGTCAGTGGGCGACTTCTCCCTGCGGTTTGTTCGGTGGCTCGTTGAATAAGCGAAGGACGAGACGTTTGTTTATGTTTGGAAGTTGGATGAGAAGGAGACGTGAAGCAGGAAAACGAGAGCGGGTTGTCGTTCAAAGTGAGTGTAGCAGAGTCCCGTCTGTCCGTGACACGACGCCGACGTCACTGCGTCATGAGGATTCGATCGATGGAAGCCACGTACACGGCTTCAGGAATGGTGTTTACATTAGCTGTAGAATTAATACAAGACTATTGTTGGGGGGCGTGAAACCAACAAATGCAGCGTGAACATTTCTACCTTTTGATTTCTGATTTTTTTATTCTCAAAATAAAGACGGAGAGCGAATGATTTAGAGAGGACAAAAAAAACGCAGTTGAACTCCTGTTGACAGATCACTGGGCACAGACTTTGTCCGGCTCCGCTTGTGTGCCTGCACGCCGCCGACAGTCCGAACCCGCAGTTCGCTTTGCACCATGAGATGATGCATTTAAAGCTCCGTTATGTGACCGTAGAATGAATGAAAGAATCTCAGCAGGTGGAACCGACTGTAGATGAATAAGATAATAAAAAAAAAACACATATCCATTTACAAGTTTCACTCTGAGAATGACCTTTTCTTTACTTCATTTGGCTCCTGAATATATTTTTATTTCATAATTTATTATCAGATTTTTGTCCATTGGAAAAAACATTGAGCTGAGCTTGTTTTACTGCAGCTGGAACGACTTAATGTCAACTATTGAGTCAGGCGGTCAGACTGTGTGTTATTATGAGTCTTGATTTGTTTTTCTGCTAAATGTCACCAGCAGAAATAACATAGCGGCAGGCAGCTGTTGTGAAACCAGAGTAAGCAGCCGTACAGCGAAGTGAAGGTCTGTGTAACGTCCACGATGTGTCCGCGTCGTACGGGATGAGAGGTTGTGACCTCACAGTAAAGCACATGTACATTTGTGTCCATAATTATCACATGGTCAGTGGCTGCTGGTGCAAGTAGCCTGAATGTATAGAACCACTTTTGTAATGTGTGTGTGTGTGTGTGTGTGTGTGAGAAACCCATACCTGTAGGTGGATGTGAGGACTCTCGAGTCTTTCAGGTGTTATTGGTTATTTATTCCTTTTGTGTTTTAATATGAAAAGCTTTATGAAAGTAGAACAGGAATGAAAGCCCTCTCTTTCCTCCTCCCTCCCCTGCTCCTCTTCCTCTGACAGAGGATTAAAGAGCTCGTCTTCTCTACGCCAGTCGACGTGTCTTCTCTGTCTAGATCTCAGCCGACCTGCTCATCATCTAATTTCTTTTTTCCTTCACACTCTTTTCATACTCTCCTCTTTTTTCTTTTTCCTGCCAATCTTCCTGTCACCTTTCTTTTCCTCCATGTTTAAGCAATGAAACTATTTCTCTTTGTTTTTCTAAGTGGGAGTTAAGTGCATACACACTTTTGAGCCAAGTAAATACACTGGCAAGTGTGTTTGTGGTGTGTGATTGTACTGAGTGTGAGTGACACTAAAAAGAGCCAGTGCTGACGGGCTCATCCGTGCCTCTCCTGAATTATTTAATATTGCATATATACATACATACTAATGCATATGACAGACCCTTCACTCTGCAGCGCTCGTATGTAATGTTGCTTTTCTACAGTTTTATTTCTGTTTAGCTCATAGATTCTTCACAAATCATGAAGTTCAAGTAAAGTTTGGAGGGTAACACCTGAAATAAAAGTGTTTTATTTGCTGTCTGACGGTGGCTGGGTGTTGTTTTGATTTAATCTCGTTTTTGTTACTGCAGCTAAACCTTCTGTACTTTCTGCAGATTTAGGAAGCCACAAACCTTTTTTTTATTATTATTATTAATGATGAGGAATTTTATAATCCCTTGTTGTTAAAAGGTAAAATAGAAAAAAACTTTCTGCCTCTTGCTGTGGATGCAAAAATTCATAGTTGCCTGTTTTATCCTTGTTTTCACTTCCTCTCCACTGTCTTGCTGTAATTACAAATTTCCGTGCCATAATTGTTTTTGTTATCTGTGTTTTTTACGACACTGAGGTCCAACACTTTCCACCTGCGTTGCCGTGTGTATAACCAGTGTGTGTAGTCAGTATCACATCATTTTACAAGAATCAATAACCCTGAAAGTCAGATATTATGATTTGTAACTGCCTCCAGTTCAGAATCAGGTCGGTACGCAACTCTGTTTTATATACTAATTTTTATAGTATAATATTTTTGCAGTTAGTTAAAGAAATCAACATACTTCACCATTTTGGGAAAATATTATACCATCGACTTCCAGTGGCGACCCTGAATCAAAGTCCTGCTGACTTCTGGGTCCGTCCACATCTACCTGAAGTCAATCCTCTAAACTTATGCTGCTTCCTCTCTGTCCTCCTCCTTCCTATCATCTACACAGTCTCAGTCCAGACTGTTCTGGTCTGTGGTTCCCTGATGGTGGAACAAGCTGCTGGATGCTGCTAGAGCAGGAGCGTCCCTCTCTATCTTCAAGAACCTCTTGAAGACTCATCCCTTCCATGAGCGCCTCCTCTCCTAACACCTCTAACACCCTAACATGCCTGACTAGCACTTACTTCTTTACTTGATCTCCTTGCACTTATTGAATAGATGTAGTACTTACACCGGGGTCTCCCGCTGTACTGAAGCTTTAGTCCCTCACTTGTAAGTCGCTTTGGTTAAAAGCATCAGTCAAATGAGTCCATCAAGTTCAGTTCACAAGTAGAAGAGAAATATTTTCAAAATATTTAATATCTTGTTATTTGTCTTGTGAGATCTGCCTGGCGCTCTCACCACATCCAAAAAATTGTTTAGTTTTTTTTTTTTCCAGCTGTGAGGAGCTCCTCTGTTTCCATTTAGATTGTGTTGTGGGAGAAAAGTTTGTATCAGCACCACGCTCAGAGACTTTTATTCTATTTACTTTCTCCAGTATAAACACACTGAACTCAAAAACCTGCCCAGAGTTAGTATTCAGTATGAATCCATGTTGGATACTCCTTTATTTTTCTTTTCACTTACACTTTTGGCTTTTTACTCATTTTCCTTTTTCCGTCTCTTAAACTTTTCATTCTGTTTCATTTCTTATGGTTTTTCTTACTTGTTTCTTTCTCTCTCACACACACACACACACACACACACACACACACTTCCCCTGTACCCCAGCTGCATCCATCTGGTGCTTCAAACCTGCCTCTGTTTGTCACACCTCCTCTTTTCACAGCAGCCATTAACATTGGCTGGCTAGTGTGTGTGTGTGTGTGTGTGTGTCTCTAGTGCGTTTTCGTTTGTGTGTGCACCTTTACTCGTGTGTGTCAGAGTGTGTGAAGGTGAAACCCAGCTGCTGTAATGTGAAATGTGTCGTCACTTAGCCGCTGCAGAAACTCTGCTCCTCCTCTTCCTCCTCCTACAGGTAGACCTTTTATCAGATCATTTATTTAGCGCAGATGGTTGTGTGTGTGTGTGTGTGTGTGTGTGTGTGTGTGTGTGTGTGTGTGTGTGTGTGTGTGTGTGTGTGTGTGTGTGTGTTGCACAGACTGTTGCGGGACACTGCAGTGTAGATCCAGAAGGGCAAACGCACGTCTGGCTCGGCAGCCCATGAATAACAGATATTACGGTCGAAACTCCTTGTGACGGAAATCCGCTGACAGCGAAATGGTCACTCGAGGACAGGATGGACGTGTGTGTGTGTGTGTGTGAGATACTGAAAGACAAGGACAGAGATAATGCTTTCAATTACATGCGTTAATAGTGAAAGTCGATAAGGTATGAGCAGGAGTGTAATGCAGCCAGAATTTTTATGGAGGCACCAATTTCACTGTAACACGTCCTCAATGCAAATCAATAGAGCACACAGGTAACGGCGTGCGGTCGGTATCTCCAGCTGGATGATTGAGGTATTTTTAATGAGGTATTACAGACTCATTTTCGTGGGTGTCTGTGTGTTGAGATAGACACCGACAGACAGGGGAAGCCAATGACAGGAGCCTTTATGTTGTCGCCGGCCGGACCACATCGTTCCCTTGTTAACTATCTCAGTCTGATTGCACTGAAAGATTACATTCATGGCAACAACCGGAGTATCGAAGTGAGCCGGTGAATCAACAACTGATCGCAAACAGAAAAAAGGTTCAATTTTGCTTCCTCTACTTTCAGTTTAATCCCGAGTTCTTCGATCGTATCTTCAGAATAAAAAAGTGTTGTGGGAACGTGAATTATTCGGCCTCCGTACCGTTACGGGGTCGCACGGGGGCCGCCAACATTTTTGAGATGTCAAGTGGGTCGTGAGTTGGAAAAGGTTGGGAAGCGCTGCAGGAGGGCATCATCATCATCATCATCATCATCATCATCATCATCATCATCATCATCATCATCAAGGTGTGGTCTGTGTGGAGACTGGTGTGTGTCACAGAAGTAGAGTGCTGTTCATTTTCATATTGGAAGTAAAATCAGCATCTGAGAACAGAGATATTTATGGAGACAAAACTGTACGACTCGAGCATCTACTTTTTTACTTTATTTCTTCATATTTATTGATTTCAGATTATTTCTATTAGTCGACAACATCACTGAGTAAAAGTGAAAAGCCACGTTTTCTCAGGCTTTTGAGCTTCTCTAAGGTTTTCAACTCTGGTTGTTTTTAAATGTGCTTTATAAATAAACTTGATTTCTGATTTTATCAGAAGTATCTCAGGTTACTTGTGTTAGAGTAGCTGTTAAATTAAGTCCAACGTCCTCTTGGACAAGAATTCATATTCTAATTATGACAAAATGCATTTAATACCTTTAAGTCCTTTAAGTCCCTCAGAGTCTTAACGACACAGTGTATATATTGAGTCTGGACAGACATGGACGTACACTGCAACTTGACTGGTCGGCGCAGGCATACATCCGTGAGGTGGCAATTCTTGTCGTCATAGTAACGCAGGTTTTCTCGGTTTCAACAGTTCTGGATGTGACAGTAACTCGGGGGTTTTTATTGTTCCTTATTCTGGATGTTTTTCTCAGTCACAAAGTGAACAGACATCAGACCGGGGCTCTGCTGTTATCTGACTGGCTGTCCTCCATGTTTGTTGTTTTTGTTCCCGTGGAAACATTAACATCACATCTGTCATGTTCAGAGGCCCGGAGATAAAAACCCTCCAAAGCCAAAGCGAATGGATAGAAACCACCTACGAGTGTGTTTTAAATTTTGTCCTGAAAACACTGGACACACGTCTTTTTTTTGTTCCAAGATCCAAACCCTATCAGATGTCCAAAGAAACAGATTCAGCCTGTGTGTGTGATCGTATCTTAGAAGTCCATGCATGCACAGATGACGGGTTCAAAAGCTGCTGTTGTCTTAATCACAGACAGAAGAAAATGAGAGCAGCTACGAGCTGAAAAGACGTGGTTAGAAAGCAACATCTCACTCTGCCAATCGACAGTCTTTCATTCAGTGGAAATCAGCAGACAAAGGTATAAACAACCTGATTTCAAGATAGTGTGAATGACCCCAGAGAGACGTCGCCACGGGTTCTGCATTTCTTACTGAAAAACTTTGTCATTAAGCAGAAGTTTTCCCGTGTTTGGAAGCTGCTTTGTGAACAGAAAACTTTAGAGAATAAAATGTAAATGCAGGGGGAGGCAGGGGGAGGCGTCTGGTAATCTTCTTTTCCTCCCGTTTTTATTTTTTTTATTTTTTTATTACAGCAGCTGTTTCCTGTATGTGTCTCCACAGGATTCGCTCTAATCTGTCACAAGCAAAGAAATTAATTATAGCGTGCTTTTGTAAGCTTATTAAAACTGTCCCCCCCCCTTTTCTCTTTGCCCTTTTCCTTTTGCCTCTCTTCTTTTCTTTTCTTCCTCCATGTGATCTGTCTTTCATCTCTCACCTTTTTCCGGCTTCCTTTTTTTTATTTCTGTTTCATTTCTACCGGACCACTTGCACTCTTCCTCTTTACTTCCTTCCCGTCATACTTTGCCGTCTCCTACCTTCCTTCCTTCTTCCTCCTCCCCTCCTTCCCTCTGTCCTCGTCTCCTCCAGGCCATTGATAAGTACTGCAGGGTGAGCGGAGGTTTCTCGGGGGTGAAGGACGTCTACTCCTCCAACCCGACCTACGACGACGTGCAGCAGAGCTTCTTCCTGGCCGAGACGCTCAAGTAAGCCAACACTAATAGGTTGATTAATTGGCTTGATCTATGACTCATCAGTACGGTGGTTGATTAATTAATCACTTTAGTGATTAATGCAATGATTTGGTGGGTGGAAGGTGGGCTGGCTGATTTTTTTTGTTTAATGAATGAGAAGAAAAATCTTACAAATGCAAAGGCTGTGCTGTCAGTCTCAGACCTTTAGGAAGGATTCTTTTAAAGGAGGAGTCCAAGTCTGACTAAAAGTAGTTCTTCCTGTCCGTACTGCCACTGAAGATCTGTAGTTTATCGTTTTAAAGTTCAGCTGGAGCTCGTGAGGTTTTATCAGCCTCAGTTTGACAACTCAAGTGATAATCCTTCAGTTATAATCTTGTGAGCATAAAACTTCCAGTTTGTGTTTCCCCGCAGACAGGAAACGCTGAATTTCATACGACATAGACTGATTTTGTTCCTATTAGCCATTAGCGTTAGGAGGGGATCTCTTTGCAGCCAGTCTGGACAGGACGAACAACTGCAGTGACCAAAAAGTCATTTTCTTTGCACATATGACCATGTGAATGTTGCTTTAATACAAACTCAACAAAGATAAACATACTGTTTTGTTTTTTTGAACAAATAATGAAAAGTTAAATCCAAGTCAGTTTTAAACATGGTATAAATGCAGCTGATTATACTTATTTCATCTTAGTATGTTGTTTGTTAAGAATAATTTAATAAATTAGACTTCTTACACAGGATTCTGTTCACATCCAGTATCGTAACCCTGTAAGAAAACGGTCTCTGCTGTGCAGTAATATATTGTCCTGGATACTGTGACTCCAGATATTTAGTGATATAATGGAGAAATGAACATTCAAACACTCCTAAATAGGTGCTTCATAGTCCTTTTATATTTCTGAATTTAAAAGCCCAGATCACTGACCGTTCTTTGTGTCCGTTCTATCGTTGTGTGTATCAGCAGCGCTCTTCAAAGGGTAATAACAGGTTAACGCTCTGGCATCTGTTGTTATTTCTTGCCATTAGAGGCCTTTGCTCTGAGCGCAGTGGGCAGGCGTCACGCTTTGTACTCAGCCACAAAACATGTTAAAGGCCGACTGGTGCAAAGGCCAGCTCTCCTGTCTCTGTGGTACATCATCTTCATCACTGATGGATGATGGGAGATGAGGAGCTGAATGCAGGCTGTGACCCAGAGGGGGAAATGAAGCCTACTGCGGCTCTCTGACTCCCCCTGCTGGCAGCTCTGTGAACACAATACTGCATCTGTAAAGTGACCTGATTTAATGGAGGTGTCCACGGCTGTTACTGTCAATCAAACCGCCTGACGGGTCAGAGATAATCATAAAACAGAGCACATGAGGCTCACATTAGCAGGGAGCTACTCATCGACCCTTCAGTTTTAGCTTCAGTGTGTCTGAAATTAACTCCCTCAAAGCATCAGACGCCAGTAAAATTTGTCTTTGGTGTATAAGTCATTAAAGGTCACCCGCCACGCCGCCTGGTAACTTTGTGAGACGATGACATTTGAATGGCTCGGTGTTCTGCAGCCTTCGGTGTCTATCTGTTCTCCGTCTCTGCCACATCAAAGCTGTGTGTCGACCCGGCCGCTGATTGGCTGCCTGTCACGGCGATCCTCTGTTCCTCCGCTGCGTGGATAGCGAGGCTTTAAAATGTGAAACTTCATGACCGAAGCAGCATGTGTGCGTTTTAATTAGATTTCACAAAGAATTACACGCCCAATCTGTCACAGGCAAGTGAGCAGCTTTTGTCTGTGCACACACATGCATGAACAGGGTGATTTTCTTGCAGATTATTTTAGCTGGAAAATAAATTTAAGGTTTTAATAACTTGATTTAGAAATGTGTTTCTTTTATATCGATGTGTAGGAATGTATGTGAGATACTGTGCAAAGCATCTGGAGTTACAGAAAACATCAAGTAACGACTGAAAATCAAGTTGAACTTCTCTAATGAAGGTCCAGACACCAGGACAGTGTGGGCCTTTAGATGCAAAGAAAAGACGTCTGCAGAAACAGCAAAGCCTTGTTGTTGTGACACTGTGTAAAGGAAACACAGGACTCCCACAGAGGAGCCCCCAACGATGAGCAAATAGAGCCGCTGCGCTTCCTCCTGCACTAAACTGTTCACCGTCAATTTATATAGAGCTGTGGCTGAAACTCTCACTGCGCACAAATGTCCTTATGCTGATTCATCCTCTGTGAATCCAAACGGAGCCAGACATGTTTAGAAACCTGCAGCTGAACCAGAGCGTAAAGACAGTGAAATGTAAATGAAGTAAGAGACAGCAGTCAGTGTTTAAACGCAGTGAGCTGCTCATTCAGGATTTTGAGTGTCCTTTTCAGTGGCATCGACGTCACTCACTTTTTTCTTCCTCCTCACCTTCCTTACCTGATCCCTCTCCTCCTCACCCCCTTTTCCTCCCTCCGTTACCCCCCCCACCCACCCACCCACCCACCCCAATACACATCCCCCACCCACCCCTCCCTCAGGTATCTGTACCTGTTGTTCTCCAGCGACGACCTGATGCCGTTGGAGAGCTGGGTCTTCAACACGGAGGCTCACCCGCTTCCTGTCCTCCACCTGGGCAACATCACCCTGCCCGGCAGCGAGCCGGCTCAGCGGTAGACGGACAGGCCCTCTTCCTCCACCACAGCACCAGGGGGCGCCACGTGTCCGCCCGCCTGCCTGCCTGCCTGCCTGCCCTAAAAAAAAAATAAATAAATAAAATAAAAAAACATTAAAAAAAAAAAAAAAAAAACCCACCCACCAACACTGGACAAAAACTTACATTCAGCTCTACAGACTCTCAACTGCTTTTGGACTGCAGACATCGACCCGGAGGAGACGGAGCGAGAGCCTCCAGCACAGACCACTGCAGAGTGGAGAGGACTCGGGTGTCGACCCTCCCTCTCTTCTTCTATGTTTTACTCTTTGACTCGCTCTGTCTTCTCTGCTCTGATCAGAAGGACGGTGGGTGTGCTGCTCAGCCTCACGTTCGGCTTGAATGAACTCTTTTCTCTGAAGGACCGAGCTCCAGAACCGGAGGCTTGATTTAGTTTTTTGGTTATTATTTTTAGTGTTTTATTTGACCAAACTTTGCTCCCATACAGACTCGAGACGAGGCACTGAGAGTGCATATTATGGGATTTTGTGAAGGATCATGCAGTCAGTTTGACACTGCACTGATGGAGTTCCAGGCAGACGGACTTTAGGACTTTACAGGGTCTGTTGATAAGGTGTTTTTCTTTTGTTTGTTTTGTTTGTTTTTTTTTTTTGTTTTGGTTGGACAAATCCTAAATTGGGGACACAGGGTTGAATCAAAGCCCTCAGCTTCTCCCTGACCCAACCCCTCCCCCGGTCCACTTCCTGTTTAATCGTCATCAGATGAACTTTGACCTGGAACTGTTAGCAGCTCGTCACATCATCAGTGTCAGAGCGGGTCGTGGCAACAGTCCCCGCCTCCTCAAATCCTCCTTTTTCAGAAAAGTGGACCATTATACGTGGAACAGAAACTACACGGGGGACAGCAGCAGGCGCTCAACCATCTCACCCCCCCCCCCCCCAACCCCAGCTCAACTCAACATCTCTCAGCTTACTCTTCACAGCAGCTCCAACACTTTCACCACCCCGCCCCACCCCCCCCCCAAACCATTCCTTGGCTGCTTACTCGTATGGATGCTGCTGTTGTTTTTTATCACTCATATTTTTTCTGATCACAACTGTCGCATAGTTTCCCCCCCCCCCGGCTCATCAACCCCTCTCTCATCTCTCCCGTCCACTTGTTTCCCGCCTTTTCATCAATCACTCCACATCATTTGCACATCATTCATTGTGAGATGAGGCTGGAACCCAACCGTGCTTACATATGAGTGTGTATAGGTGTGTGTGTGTGTGTGTGTGGAGGTTAAAACAACCCCTGCTGTAAATCATTTGTTTGTGCACTTTGTATGGGAAGACTATGACGAAGAGGAGAGTAGAGGTATAGCACTGAAAGAGCTGAATAAACCACCTTCTTATGTCTCCCTGCTGAGCTCATATGCCACATTTTCTCTGTTCAACCAGGTGAGCGGTAGGTGTCAGAAATCTCCATCATTTTTCCCAGAATCCCTCTCTCTTAATTTCTTCTCCCTTCTTCTCCATTTCAACTCCTACCTCACCTGTCCACCATTAAAAGTCCACAAACTTGAAGGCCTTTAGGTCTCTGAAAAGTCTGACACCTTATTTCATGTCCAAGTTTTGGATGAAATTTAAAATCTCCATGAATCCAAACCATTTCAGATACAATGTGAAATATTGTGTTCAACTTCAGAAACACATCCACCTGTTAAATTTCCCTCCGTGTTGTTTAGAGAACAGTCGTAGCCAGCTAACGTACAGATTTATCGAAACTCCTAAATGTCGACGACATATCATCAAACCAACACGAGGAAACTGAAGTCTGGGGGGGGAAAGTTGGGAACTCTGAACAACAGAGCAAATCAAGGACTTTTTCAACTCAAGGAGTTATTTTTGGCCTTTATTTTGAAATCCGCAGTGACAGAGAGACAGGGCCGGCAGGGAGAGAAAGAGGTGATGATGCAGCAAAGGGCTACAGGTCAGACTGGAACCTGGGCCGCTGCTGAGCCGACTGTTGGTTCGTGTACAACTTCAGCTGCACATCCCCCCTGTGTCTGTGTCTTTATCCCCCCCCTCCCCCCCGGAAGCGCTTGAACATCAGAATATTACAGCCGCTCCAAACGGTACGCCGCCACACGCCGCGCTGTCCGCTCCATCACCAGCACCATTCTGCCTCCATTTATCGCTCCTGACACGACGCTCTTTGCTACATCCAAAAAACAGCGCGAGGGATTTACTGCTCGGGTTGCTCAGATAATACAGTCTGTCAGAAGTATTTCGTTTGCAAACAACCAAAACAATTTGTCTTTGAAACAGCTCTCCCTGATGACTGAATGCTGGACTTTGTTTAAAGGGTTTAAACTCGTCATTTGAATGCGACTTAGTGTATAAACATTATTGTAGGATTCACTGACAAGTACAAGGAAAGGTTATGTGAACATTCATTTGTCTTACTGCAGCAGAAAAGCATCTCAGTCTCTGACTTAGTTGCAAGTGCAAATCCAGACTCTAACTCTCCAACTCGCACCTTAAATCAAGCAAATCAGACAGAAACATAAGCACCTTCATCATATGGATTCTTACTACATGAGAATATATCACAAGAATCAGATTTTATTCCTACTTTAGTTCAACAACCGTTTTTTAGATGCCGTGCGGACACATTAGCGGTTGTCCGGTGTCTTCTGCAAAGTGAAATATTAACCAGGAGGGAGGAAACATGGCAGAAGGCAGGAGGACGTCAACAAAACAAGCGCTCCCTCTGCCCCGTTAGCCACATGCTTCCACATTCTTATTTTATTCTTTATTTCAAACCCGTCTGATCCGATATTTATGTTGGAAAGAATTCAACCATGATTTTTAAACCATTATTAAGGTAAAAATATATCATCCACTTTACAAAAATACAGACAGTAGGCTTAATGATGGGCTCCGTAAACCTGATGCAATGAGTGTGTGAGAGAGAGAGAGAGAGAGAGAGAGAGAGATTGATGAGACAGTGTGTTAAAGTATTATATTTTCTATTAGTGTCCAGGGGCTCATTAATAAGCCTGTTGGCTGCCACTTACATGACACTGACATGAATCTCTGCGTTATCAGCTGACTGCTTTAAGAAAAGAGAGGCGTTAAAGCTGAAGAACAGGAACTGCACTAAACCAGGAAGATTTCTTTTTGTGTGTGTGTGTGTTTGTGTCCCGTTTCCTTTCAAGCCTGATTTTAAAATGCAACTCTGCTCTTTCACAATCTTCACTTCTTGTCATTATGATATAAATCCCTCTCGTTTTCGTTTGCACAGACGTGGTCTGTCCTGTGACGTGCAGATCCATTCACAGCTGTGACCGAGTAGAAATAAAGACAAAGGAGAAACTGCTCCGAGCATCAAAATCACAGATTCAATTCACTTTAGCGACATAACAGCTTTCCTTATTCCCTCCTCCTCCTCTCATCTCTCAAATGTAACTGGTAAAAACTCAGAAATTTCCCCTCGTGACCAAAATTGAATTACCTGACATTTGCCCTCTTTTGGGTCAATAGAGCCGAACCGTGTGAGACAGAGCTGCTCACCGTCAGCTCCCACCGCTTTCACAACACACGTGCAGACAGAGTTTAGCTGCAGGACTTGATCAACACTGGCAGCAGAGTCTGAAACAGATCATCAGGATTAAACTGATGTGGTGTTGGTAAACCGCAGTGTCTGGTTAGAGGCAGAAAGAAGGGAATTCATGATAGAGCTTCATATTTTCAACATCTAATGTGCTATCAGAAATATTTAGGACCTGATTTCATGAAATATTGTACGTAGCTGTTACAGGAAGTAGGAAACGTCTCAATTTTTACTCCGCCTTCATCGACAGCTTCATCATTTTATCATCTTGTTAGATGGGTTTATTTGACTTTGACCAGTTATCAGGTCGAGGTTGGGCTGAGATCACGTTCAATCAATCAGCTTTTTATGCGTTTTCTTTTTTTTTTATATATATATATTTATGATGCAACACAACAACAGTCCTCCGCAGCACGTGAAGGGGAACCTCCCGCCTCACGCTTCTACAGCGTCGACCAGTGTACGTTCACCGTATTCCTCCTCCCTCCTCCATGAGCACACGTTTCATCCCCCCCCCACTTTTCCCTCCATCATCCATCCAGCATCATCTCTTCCTTCACCTGAACTCTGGTGGCAGTCGTCATTCACAGTCCATTGATGCAGTACAGTTTCGGCTCTCAGCCTCTCTCCCCCTCCCGCAGTCTCTGACATCATGCTGACATCATCACCACCTATATCTGATAAGGAGGAAGCCCAAGGAGAAACCCCGGGCGTCCATCGAGTCGCTGGGAGCGACGTCGCTTTTGAAAATTGAGTGTTCTGTATTTGTATTTTTACTGAACTAAAAACAAAAAAAAAGATAAAATTAAAAGTATCTGTAAATACGTTTAAAACTGAGACACAAATTCAATAAAGATGTTATGAAAAGTGATCAGACACTAAGAGTATGTCCTTTTGTTTGTGTTTGTTTTAGCTTCATCCTGCGATTCTTTGTGAAGCTGTGTTGGTATCACAATGTCGGCTGGTTGGTCCATCACTTCTGTCCAGACTGAAATATCTCAACAACTATCTGATGGATTGCCATGAAAGTTTGTGCAGAGGTTCATGGTCTCCAGAGAGCGAATCCTACCGACTGACGTGATCCTCTGACTTTTCCTCTAGTGCCGCAGTGATGTTGACGTTTGTGGTTTTCCGTTAGATATGTGGTTCACACATCCGTGCTCCTCTCAGCCCTGGACTGTAATAATGATTCTCTCTCTTTTCATTCAGCGCCGTCATCAGGTCAAAATTGTAATTTGTCCTTTACTTTGGCTCATGACCACATAGCTGTAAAACCAGGGAGATTCATCATCATCCTCAGCTGCACTCGGCTGTAGATTCATTTGCATCCTTTGATTTTGAATTTGAAACCTGGGCACATATAATATTGAACAGTGATTGTCTGATTGACCCACAGCAGCAGCTGATTTGATCAAATAAGGTACATTTGTTGAGTGGAGCTTTTTCACGTCAGTTTCAAATTGAAAATATATATATATATAA